AAACGCACTGTCTGCTCTCCCAAAGGACCTGGGTTCTATTCCCAGCACTCACATGGCAGCTCACAACTGTCTGTAACTCCAGTTCCAAGGGATCTGACACCTTCACTTCAATGTTTATAAAATAAAATTTAAAAATAATAAAATTTAAAAAAAATCAGCATTGTATGGCTCCCAAAGAACTGGATCACAGCTGCCCGAGAATCTTAGAACGTTACCGGCAGCTCTGGCCTCTAATGACCAAACACCAACAGACTCCCACTTTTAGTTGTGACAATCAAACACTGACTCCTTTATGTTCCCCGAGGACAAAAAAAAAAGAAGAAGAAGAAGAAGAAAAGAAAGTCACTCCTGGTTTAGAGCTACTGCTGGCGTTAGAAGACTTACATGTTTTTAGGAAAGCTTTAAAATACACAAGTGGCTGTCCTGGCCTCACTCTGTAGACCAGGCTGGCCTCGAACTCACATTGATCCATCTGCCTCTGCCTCCCCAAGTGCTATTGTAGCTGTGTGCCACTATACCCCATTCAGATCCATTTAATTTTAAATGTGAACAAATTTGGGTCATAAGTGAACTAGGAATAAAAGCTCAAAACAGTCTAAAATGGTGTATAGACATAGCTCATTAATTAAGTTCCTTTCTCATTTCTCTTCAGAGGAAATCTATCTCACACACACACACACACACACACACACACACACACACTTCCAAGTGCATTTAGCGCTGCTCACATGTACACGTGTTAAGGGGTGGCCACGTGGGAGAAACCTCTTCTCCCTCCTGCAGCTGCCATCTACTGCCTACAGCTCTTGACTTAGGGGCTTCGGGAAATCCCCCTCGCCACACTGGCACATCAGGGGTGGAGTCATCTGACCATGCAGGTCTCCTTCAGATAAATGTGGTTGAGATTTCACGGGTGCTGCTTTTCTGTCGTCTAGAAGACACCCCCAGATGTCGTGGGTCCGCTGGCTCTTGAGACCTTTTCCCCTCCCTGACGATTTTCCTGAGCCTCTGGAACAGGAATGCTAACTGAGGCTAAGCACCCATGGTCAGTTAGTCTCTTCCGTTCGAGTGGTTGTAACAATCTGTCTCCTACAGAAAGCAGCTCTGCGGGGAGGGTGAGGGGTGGGAGTTGCATCTAGCTTCGGGTACGGGAGCAGGCATTTAGAATATGGTGAGAAACTATGCTGGTTCGGAAAAGGGCACCGTGGGCTCTCCGCCAGGCCAGACCTCTGCGGCCACGGCTATTTGGCGAGGCTTACGCACTCCCTCCTACTGCTCCACTAGCCAGCTGCTGCGCCACGAAGTGCCCTTTGCCGTTACGGCATCGCTGATAGCTGCCCACAGGCCCGCACTGTGCCTGGCTCTGCAGCTGGGCAGGGCTGCTGCCTGCGCCTTCCCGTGGTGGCTGCCCGGCCTCTCTGCGAGCTGGCCCGGGGAGCACCCCCACTCCTGCCCGCCTGTCTGAGATGCTGTCTTCAGCAAATGAGCTCAGACTGTCAGCAGCTGAAACGGGAAAGCGTTTCCTAAGAACAAAAGCTGCGGGAGACTGTCAGAAGTAGGCCTGGTCGGACGGTATAAAAGTTACAATCCTCTGGCTGCCAAGCAGCAGTTTTGTGTTGTTACGGCAGCTCAGGGAGGGGATGCTGGCGGGACCCTGACTTAGTATTTGTTTAGTATGAGTGAGACCCTGGGCTTTATCCTGCCATCACCCAGAAGTGCTTCAGTCTTCCTTTCCTGTGCTTAAAATTGATGGGTTTTATAGATAGATAGATGGATGGGTGGGTGGGTGGGTGGATGGATGGATGGATGGATGGATAGATAGATAGATAGATAGATAGATAGATAGATAGATAGATAGATAGA